GACGATAAAGTGCGAGTTTCAAATGTTTTCTACCTATTCAGAGCGCGTACTCCCTGTTGCTATTTTCTAAAGCATGTTTATGAAGTCTAAAACAATTGCCACACGGTGCGTTGTTTAGGACGCAAAGAGTTTAATGTGTACATTATATTCGTTTACTATTCACTACATTATTATAATTATTATTATCATCATCATCATTATAATTGAGCGGTCGTGGTTTATCTAGTACAGATACAGAGTCACCCCAGTGACTCTATCCTTGCCTTATCTCTTATCTTCCTATCCTTATCTGCCCGTCTCCCCTCCTTTTAGCCCCTTATTTTTCTCCCTACCCTGACATGCTATCATTCTCGCCCCTTATAGACCCTCGCCAGCGGTTCCAAATCAGTATCGGAACCAGATTTGTTTCTAGAAATGACTTTGGCTCCCAGATCGACTCAGCCTAAAATGGGTACTCGGCAAAGTCCTGGGAAGTAAAGGCTGCCGGCGTGAATCTAACCGTATCCCTAACTACGTATCGATTTGTAAAAAAATACAGGATACTCAGTACCCTAACTGCGTGGAAAAGAGTTCTTTACTTTACTATAAATATTATTTTGCTCTTAAACTATTATTAGGCCTCTTGTGGTTCCCCTTCCCCAGTTTTTCAAGAATATATGTGTCGTACCTGATACAGCCAATCGTCAGCGTCTCTATCGTTACTTGTCTGACACCTTGGGGACCTCCTTTGGAACTTCCCTGAAGGTGCATCGACGTGATGCCGAACAACTAGGGTCACCAAATGTCCCGTTTTCACAGGCAGAGTCCTGTTTTTTAGGTGTGTTCTGGTCGTTCCGTCGCCCCCCCCACCCCCACGCGAGCGCCCCACCACCCCCCCCCCCCCCAAAAAAAGAAATTGTAATTCACTCAAAAATAATTTTTTAAAAAAAGGACATAATTTTTTGTTATGTAGACCTTTTTAGATGTAATAGTGAAAGACACTTTTAATGTCTGAAAGGCGCTGATCGGATTTTGTTGTTGTTGTTGTTGTTGTTGTACGTGGTTAAAGAGCGTATTGTTTTGTTTATTTGTATGCAGCAATGGTTCGGGTGTAAATACCATTGTTGAGCGAATAATAACCCTTTCACCCGGATGACTGGGGAAAAAACTTAGGGTTATACTGAATTACTTTCGGTGTCCCATTTTCAGCAAGAAATATTAGTGGGATGTCCCGTTGTCAGCTCAAGGTTAATACCATCGTTGAGCGAATGATTTAACCCTTTCACCCCGGTGACTGAAAACAAAACGTTACCTAAATTACTTCCGATATCCCATTATTCAGATATTATAGTCACCATATGAACAGCACATGACCAATTCACAGTTGAATGGAGTTTCTGGAGTTTGCCCGGACGATTCTCATCCGAATGGTGGCACTTTGTTTCACCGGGTATTTGTCACTCATTGTGCGGTCAGAGTTGAACGTCACTCACTCACCAAATGATCAATGCATACACTGGCTAGCGTGCACACATACATACATAGCGACAGAGAGGGAAAAGACAGAGAGAATAACATATGTTTATCCTGGAGAGTTATCAAGTGTGTCAGTCCATGACCGGCTCCAGCTGACAGGGCATGCTGCTGACGTCACCAGGTCAGGCTAAAGATGCGTTAACGCAGCAGTTCACAAACAAGAAAGAAACTTCGACAGTGGTAAAGATAACTCGAATTTGAAATTTTAAGTATCTGCACGCCTTCTTTAATAATTTCACAATTTTTAGCCGACGTTTCTTGATTATTAACCCGGCACCCCTGGCATACGCTCACGGCACCTAGGGTGCCTCGTCACCCAGTTTGAGCACCGCTGCGTTAACGCATCGTTAGCCCGACCCGGTGACCTGAACAGCACGAACCATCAGCTAGAGCCGCTCGTGGTCAGTCTACCCTTCTTCGCCACTTCATGTCCCTTCTACATTCCACTCCTCTGTCTTCCCATCCTCTCTTATCCCCTGCTCCATCTATTTGTGAAGCCGTGTTTTCGCCAATCTCCCGACAGTCTCCTTATCTTCAAGGTCACCAGACAGACGAGGCAAAAAATCTTATTTCGTAGAGGAGACAGTATTTAGACGTTCCGAGATCTCTCATTTATCTCCCTTCTTCAACTATGTTACCATGAGTTAGCCCGATTGTCGCCCTTGTATTTTCTTTAGGAATTTTTTCTTTCGTTGTGTTTTTTCTTTCTTTCTTCATTTCTTTCTTTTTTTTTTTCGTTTATTTACTCTGCATTTCTGGCTTGCAGTCTTTTACTTTCTTTTTTCATTTGTTTGGTCATCCCTTCTGTCTTTCTTTTATTCGTATTTTTTTTTTTCACTCTTGGTTTTTTCCTTTCTTTTTGCTTTCGTCCTCTCTGAAATCAGCCTGTCCGTCTCTTTACCAATAATCTAGTGAAATCATCATGTTTTGTTCTTTTTTAGGACGAAATTTTTTGTTTTTTGAAGCCCCACCCTGGCTTTTGTCAGGGGCCGCAATATAGGCAGGCCATAAATATGGCCAATTGTCTGAACGCGGTTTCTGGGACCTCTCCACGGCGATCCTCATCCACATGGTGGCACTTTGTGTCATCGGGTGTTTATCGCTTGTGTGATGTCCTGGTGGGGTAGAAAGTCAGTCAGTCTCTTTATAAAACATGCTTTTTTCGTCCTTTGTAGGATGAAATTTGTGGTTAGTTGAAGCCCTACTCTTGCTTTTGCAATATAGCCTGGCCATAAATATGGCATAGAGGCTGAACGCGGTTTCTGGGACCTCTCCACGGTGATCCCCATCCACATGGTGGCACATTGTGTCATCGGGTGTTTATCGCTTGTGTGATGTCCTGGTGGGTAGAAAGTGGGTCAGTCAGTCCGTCTCTATGTCTGTGCGTGGAATTATTTCTCTATCTTTCTTGGGTGTTGATCAATATTGTGTGTTTATGTCTGTCTGTCAGCCGGTGTCAATCTGCATCTGTCCATCTTGTGGTACTGACGTTGAGCTAGTACCTCCAGCACCGTGATCCTCAACCTTTTTAAACCCACTGCACACACCAAAACAGCTGAAATCGTTTGGCTGTACACCAAAACAGCTGAAATCGTTTGGCTGTAGACCAAAACAGCTGAAATCGTTTGGCTGTACACCAAAACTGCTGAAATCGTTTGGCTGTACACCAATACCTACGTACTGTAATCCTTGAAGAGACGAATTTTCCTATGCTACTCCTTTACATGTTTGGATAGACATTTCTGAAGGCTCGTCTCAAAGTTTTCTGCAGTCCACTATTGAAGAACACTGGGTAGTAAAGGCGGCCGGCGGGCGGGATGCTGACCACATCACCCACCGAGTGGTGACTGGTCTATAAAATATAGTTCTAGCCCTATATACACAGTACGCCTGAAGGTGGGGAAAAGGGTCCTTGTATCTGGTATCTGGTACCCAGTTTCAAACCCACGACCTTCGGATCCGCAGGCGAGCGTTGTTTATCCAGTACACCACGGCGGCCTTTGTGCGACTGTAGTATTTACATTAACCTTTCCCCGTGTGGGTTCTGGGGCCTTATTATTTAGAAAACAAAAATAGACCCACTACCTACCCAAAAGCATATCGTAAGAGTCGACTAATCGGGCGCTTCCTTCGAAGACGGAGTGCATCTGCCTGAGAGGCAAGGAACCAGCAGTCTGCATACAATTGAGTCAGGTCTGTAAAACGGATGCAGACGCAGCACTCAGGTTCTGCAACAGCACTGCAATCCAAAAGTGGAAAAACAATCAGATATTTCCGCCAGAGTTTACAGCTGGTCAGCGCAAAGAAGAAGAAGATTAGTGAGCACTTTCACGCACTCTGACCTCTGACCTCTGACATCTTGAATACTAACAACAGCGATATAGGAGGTGTGTAGTCAGTGCATCTCCTCGTCGTGTTGCCTTTTCCAACAATTCTAAGATCCTCGTTGCAGCTACACATGCAAACTGGTGCATGCTGTTAGAGGTCACAAGATGCAACTGGTGAAGAAGCACACTCGACGCCCAGGACAGCTGGGAAGTCATTGAATGATAGCGTATATGTTAACTCTGTTTGTCTGTCTGTCTCTCATTCTGTCTCTCCCCCTGGGCTGCATGGTGTCCGCCTCGAGTGCTAGAGGTTCCGGGTTCAATCCCCGGTAAGGGCTGGGATTTTTTCACGTGGATTTGGACTTCTAGTAATTTCCCCTGGTCGCTGCGTAGTGAGATCGAAAATCTGTGTACATTGTTGCGCACGTATAAAATCCCTTGGCAGTTGGAAATCAAAAAGAATAGCCTAACAGCAATGCCCAGGCAAAATTTGGAGTTAAAAATCTTACCCAAAGTCTTTCAGGATCCTCGTCGGTGCTACAGAGCGTGTGTACTGTGCAAAGCTTCTTCGGACTCAGACTAGAGTTAGAAAAAGAACGGGGCACTTATGGGTTACTACCCGTGTGCCATAATGTTGATCCGTTGTTTAAACCTCAAACTTTTCACTCTTGAGTTTAAATTTCATCTGCGCATTTTTTTTTTTTCAGTCGCAAATCTGTGAGCCAAACTGGCAAACTCCAATCCAGTCGTCTGAACGATGGCTGAGCAGACGATGTGAATCAGACCGAGGTCAAGGACGCAGCTACAGTCAGGAACTGATGTCAAAGTGGACACTTTTTCACGAGGAAAATTTTCAGAATAAGTACTGTACTGTCTGCTGTACTGTTCATATCACCTTACGCTGCTTATTTTCTAAGGGACAATGTGAATATAAACGCACAAATCGTACAAAGAAACTTGATATTTTTCTTACAATTTTATAGACGATGACAAGGACGCTAGATCTTGAAGCATTATGCACCATAAGCGCCTGTCCTCTAAAAAAAACAAGACTTCATGATTGAGACAGTAAAATGTGACTTATTAATGTGAGCCAAAGGTATCATTAACATTAATCTTTTGTGACAAATTCGTAGTCGGATCTGCAGATGAAATTCCATGCAATCTTTACTAGAATTCTCGGCCATCAAGAGCTGCCCGGAACTATCAGCTGACTATATCCTGCTCTCTGATTCGCCGCCTTCGAGGCAAGGATTCACCAATCATCTTCAGCTAACATATCCCGCCTACCAGCGGCTCAGCGAATCAGAATTCGACTCCAGCAGCAATGGCGCCCAGGAGATTACTATAACAACACTTCCGGATGACACCATTGAAATTTTATCTTGTCATGTAGACCGTGAGGATGATGATGATGACAGTATGGGTGGCTCATCAGCTGTTCCCGATAAGTGTGAGTTTTTAAATCTTTAACACTGTTACTGTAATTACAAAGTTCACAGACTTAGTGAGTAGTGTCTGTCTCTCTTCCCATCTATTGGGTTGTCCCTCGTTTTGTTTGTCTGCGTTCTTGTCTGTATTTAGCATATGTACGTTGATTACAAAATAATAGGGTGGTTTATTGCCTTACGTTAGATATGTCTATATGTTTGCCTGTTTGGCTGTACTGTCCGTTTGTCTGTCAATTTGTCTGTCTTTACCACGTTTACTTTAAAACATAGTCACAGACTAAGCGTATTATATTGTGTTGTGTCTGTCCATCTATCTGCCCACCTGTTTGTGTGTAGTCTTGTCTGTCTTTAGCACCTTAACTTTAAAACACAGGCATTGACTAAGTGCATTGTGTTGTTTTATATCTGTCTGTCCATCTGCTCACATGTTTGGCTGTCTGCTATTTGTCTGTCTATTTTTCTGAATGTATGCCTGCCTGTCTGTATACCAGTTGAAACGTGCACACCCCCCCCCCCCCTCCCCGATGCTGAGAGGCGTAGGTCCCTTTTCCACGTGCGATCAGGTACCAAAACGAGTGCAGTATAAATATAATACAATTCCATCAGTTAAGTGTGATAGAACAGTCGGAGATTATTCCAACGATGAAACAGGAAGCCTATAACAATAACAATCAACTTTGATGCGTCTAAACGGGAGGTAAATGACGAAGGCCATGTACATGGGATCACACTGCTGTATTAACGAACACTTTGATCCAAAATGAGAACAAATGTGCAAATAACCTGATAAATGGTGAAGACTCACCCAAATGCGTCAAGCACTCGCTAGCACACGCACACTCGTCTAGAGAAATTCAGATGACATCCTCAAACAACTCCTCAAGGGTCAATGGTACGACCTTGAGAGTCTAGACGGTCACTGAGATCTCCTCATCTGCAGTCTGATACTAGATAACAGGGCAATGTCCCTCCTTAGTGATTCGGCTGAGAGATTCATTAGTTTTAAATATTCCTGCTTCCTGCGAGCGCAATAATTAATGTACCAGCTCTCGGCTGAGGTTTCCACGTGGAATCCCGGGTTAGAACTTCATCGAGAATCTACTGAGACACGACCACACGTCTGTCTCCTTCAAACTTTATACTCCGAATTCCCTAGATTCCAATAACATAACAACTTTAAGTATTGTTTTGACGTCCTATTTGCTCAGTCAGTATCGGTGTGTTTTGGTGCATATCCGCACGCGACACCAGTATGTATGTGTGCCTGCGTGAACATGTGTGAGGTCACATAGGCAAGTAAGTAAGTCAGTTGTACCCCACCAGGACATCACACAGAGCGATAAACACCCGGTGACACAAAGTGCCACTATTCGGATGAGGATCATCCATGGAGAGGTTCCCGAAACCCTGTTCAACCGTTAGGTTATAATAAAGCCCCTGGCAACAGCCAGGGTGGGGCTTCAAAATAACGAAAAATTGCATTACACAAAGGGACTACGAATGCAGATTACAGACAATGCAGTTGGAAAACATTAACTGAGGAAACGAGGGTATCAAAGAAAGTACCTAAGACGAACAAAGCCCAATCAACAGTGTTTCATCTGGCGTGATGTCACCACATCACGCATCGGGTGCCGATTGGTCTAAAATATACAAGTCTATAGTCCGTTCCATAAGTCGGCTCAGCTTTAAAAATAAATAACAGTTCGGTGTAAGTTGTTACGATTTTGCATGCAGCCTGTTAATAATTATACCCAGTAGTAAAATAATTGGAATGCAAACACATGTATAGCCTCTCTCTCTCCCTCCCGGCCCCCCCCTCTCTCTCTCTCTCTCTCTCTATATATATATATATATATATATATATATATATATATATATATATATATATATATATATATATCGCCGTTGGCGTATGAAAAACAGTTTACAGTAAATGGATTGACTCGAACTTGGCAAAACATCTAGTGAAGTGGCTACGTCAGGTACTGCCATAATGCTTGCTGATTGGCTCATAAAAGTAGACGAATAATATCAATTCCTGTGAATTTGTTTAGGCTACACAAATTATTAGTCGAAAGATCAAAGAAATTAGCCGCTAAAAGAAAACAGCAGTACCTGTGCAGTTATTATTCATGAAATTATAAGGACATCGGAAGTCGAAGACAGCATGCAACAATTGTTTGAATTCGTATAAAATATAGTTATTACAGTTTCAGGGCACCGTGGACAAGTGTCCCTTACTTTACGAATCTGAAGTGTCTTGTATGTGAGTGAGTTAATTTGTTTCCACTTCAGTGTTGCAGTCTGTATGATTAACATCTCAAGGTTGAGAGTCAAAACAGGTACAGATACCACCAAAGCCCTGTTCTATCGTATAGCCATACAGTTCAAAACGGTTACGAAATAACATGTAGCCAGTATGGGTGGTTGTTGTGTTATCTGTGTCTTTGTCTGTAAGCAACAATCACTACCTTCATATTTATTCCACAGTAGCCAACGGCGAGTCGCCGAGAGATGACCCTGCAGCTGTCCACCGGAAACGAGTGGTGCGAGCCGTTGGGGCTGTGACCTTTCTGCTCTTGCTGTTCAGCCTGATTCTTATCGGCATCTCCCTCAACATGAGCAAGGAGATCGATGAATTAGGTGGGTCATGTCACCTTGTGTTTGTCGCAGGTTGGTCATGTCACCTGTGTTTGTCGCAGGTGGTCATATCACCTTGTGCTTGTCCTAGGTGGGTCATGTCACCATGTGTTTGTCACAGGTGGGTCATTTATCCTTGTGCTTGTCGCAGCTGGTCATATCACCTTGTGCTTGTCCTAGGTGGGTCATGTCACCTTGTGCTGTCCTAGGTGGGTCATGTCACCTTGTGTTTGTCGCAGGTGAGTCATGTCACCGTGTGTTTGTCGCAGCTGGTCATATCACATTGTGCTTGTCCTAGGTGAGTCATGTCACCGTGTCTTTGCCACAGGCGTGTCATATCACAGTGTGTTTGATGCAGATGGTTATATCACCGTGTGTTTGTCGCAGAAGGTCATATTACCGTGTGTTTGTCGCAGGTGGTCATATCACCTTGTGCTTGTCCTAGGTGAGTCATGTCACTGTGTCTTTGTCGCAGGTGGTCATATCACCTTGTGCTTGTCGCAGGTGGTCATATCACCTTGTGTTTGTCGCAGGTGGTCATATCACCTTGTGTTTGTTGCAGGTGGTCCTTTTATCTTGTGTTTGTCGCTGGTGGTTATATCACCTTGTGCTTGTCGCCGGTCGTCATATCACCTCGTGTTTGTCGCAGGTGGTCATATCACCTTGTGTTTGTCGCAGGTGGTCATATCACCTTGTGTTTGTCGCAGGTGGATATCACCTTGTGTTTGTCGCAGGTGGTCATATCACCTTGTGTTTGTCGCTGGTGGTCATATCACCTTGTGTTTGTCGCAGGTGGTCATATCACCTTGTGTTTGTCGCAGGTGGTCATATCACCTGTGTTTGTCGCTGGTGGTCATATCACCCTGTGTTTGTCGCAGGTGGTCATATCACCTTGTGTTTGTCGCTGGTGGCCATATCACCTTGTGCTTGTCGCAGGTGGTCATATCACCTTGTGTTTGTCGCAGGTGGTCATATCACCTTGTGTTTGTCGCAGGTGGTCATATCACCTTGTGTTTGTCGCAGGTGGTCATATCACCTTGTGTTTGTCGCAGGTGGTCATATCACCTTGTGTTTGTCGCTGGTGGTCATATCACCTTGTGTTTGTTGCAGGTGGTAATATCACCTTGTGTTTGTCGCAGGTGGTCATATCACCTTGTGTTAGTCCCAGATGAGTCATGTAACCGTGTCTGTGTCAGAGATTGATCATGTAACCGTGTGTTTGTCACAGGCGGTTCATGTCACCGTGTGTTTGCAGCAGCAGAAGAAGCAGATCAGCAACAGCAGTAGTAGTAGTAGCAGCAGCAGCAGCAGCAGCAGCAGCAGGAGTAGTAGTAGTAGTAGTAGTAGTAGTAGTAGTAGTAGTAGTAGTAGTAGTAGTAGTAGTAGTAGTAGTAGTAGTAGTAGTGGTGGTGGTAGAAGTGGTAGTAGTAGTAGAAGAAGAAGGAAAAGAATGACAAGATTTCCTGCCTTTTTAGTTGTCTTTGAAATTGGTCCAAAATTATCATCTCCCCATTCCGCTCATCCCTTCACCCATCCATCTCTTGCTGTTTGTTGCCTGTATACGCCTGCACCTGAATCTCGTCACCTTTTTTTTTTTTGTTGCAACTTCTGTTTCTTGTTGTTGGAGAACGAGGTGCAGTACCAGCATGTCACATTGACATAAATTGTTGGCCCAGCTGGCAGGTTTAGCAAACAGATTTGTTTCGTTGCATTTTGTGATACATAATTAACTGTCAAGCTTCTACCTTGCAAAACTAGCTTATACTTTTAACAAGAAGTGCGACGGTTTGTTTCCATGTCTTTAATTTTGCAACGTTTTTTTTTTTCCTTGGCTGGTTTTACCGTTTTTGTAATGTTAAGAAATTTTGGCGAGCGCCACAAAAAAATAAGACTAAAATCGGTACGAGGAAATATTCTGAGGAGTAAAGATGGTCTAGGTGATGCTGACCACATTGCCTATCAAGTGCTAATAATAATTCTATTTCAACAGAAATAAAAATTGACAGAGATGCCTCAGTGCTTCCCCATCTGTTTATTTCTGTTAATTAAATACAGTGTTATGGAACCTACCAATCAAATCTCAGTTTTTAAATGTTGGTTGTATTTTAGGCACATTATTGCGGTCCGGTGTGTTTATAATTGTTGTTGTTTTTGTTATTCGGGATTAATAGGGGTTTAGAGGAGCGACTGGCCGAACGGTTAGAACGCTGGGCTTTCACGAGTTAAACCCTGGTTATAATCCTCAATAAGGCTGGGGATTTTTTTCTATCAGGGGCAAAATAAAATTCTCACCTGCACAATCGTGGCGACAGCACTAGCTATGCGGCCGTAAATCCTCAGGCATAGAGACCCCCCCCCCCCCCCCCCCAACTCCTACCTATACCGCAAAAGTATCACTAAGTCAGTAATTGGTATTATAGCTTTATATAACCTATGGTGTCATGTCAACGGTTTGAGACGAATTCTATCCGTATTTCATAGTTCTGGGTTCAAGTTGTACTATAGACATGGCTAACAAAGACACAATTTTGGGGTGCCTAGTTGTTTATGTGCACGTTGTCTTGCAGCGACGAGCTGTTGTCAGTTGGAGGTGACAGGTTCGATTCCGGACACGGTAACTAAAGGTTACGATTTGTGTTTTATCCGTCTTTTTCGCGATCACTTGCAGTAAACTCCGATGGAAAGTTCCTGGCTGTTCATCCACTTCTGGACTTAGTCTTATTCCAGAACCTGAGTTTGTCGTGCACATCCGTTTTAAAGATCTGGTTTATGTATACGCAGACTGTTGGTTCCTCACCTATCAGGCATATGCACTCCGACTTGAGAAAAACAAATCGAAATTAGTGGACTCTTACGACATGCTTGTTAGGGGGAATGGCTTTCTATAAATGCCGATCAACAAATGCCCGAGTGTTTATTATCTATGCAAAAGTGGGCGTGCCAGTGGAAGGGGCGTACCTGGGGTGGGGGCTGCCTCGAGTGTCATCACTGGGGGGCGGGGGGCGGACAAAACCCTGTGTTTTAACGTAAAAATAGTCTCCCTCTCTCTCTCTCTCTCTCTCTCTCTCTCTCTCTCTCTCTCTCTCTCTCTCTCTCTCTCTCTGTGCGTGCTCGTGAGTAAGTGCGCGCATGTGTATATGTGTGTAGGGGTGACAGGATATTTGTCGGCACTCCCAACCTTGCTATGCCTCTAGGTTCGTCACTACATGCTTGAAGCGCCACATTTGACAGTTTTGTTTATTTACTTAAAGGAAGGGACGGGTTCATGGAAGGCGTGCTGGGGGTTGACCAGCACCAACAGACTCTCAAGCTACTGGGGAAACACTGGGCAGGAGAATACACCAGGCAGAAGACTGCAAAGTACTGAGATTCTTTGCTGGAACAGTTTGCTGGAAGATGATCTACGTTTAACCAATCCAGGAGGTTATATCGAACGATAAACACCTGGTGACACAAAGTGCCACCTTCGAACGAGGATGACCCAGGGACAAGTTGGGTTAAATTAGGGCCCTGGCAACGACCAGGGCCAGGGTGAGGTTTTAAAACAATAAACTGGGATGCAGTAACCAATGAAGTGATGGAAACGATGTTTTCTCACGGTGCATGCATCATTGTTGCTGTTGATTGGATGAAAACAAAAACACAACTTTGACCACATTCAACCCTACCGAAGACAGCCTCGGTTATAATTGTAGTCTGTTTTCCTGTTGTGGGTGCACCAAGTTCAGTGACTTAAAGGGTGTGTTGTGCCAGTAAGTTGTGGATTGACTAACCGACTGACTTTCTACCCCGTTAAGACATCACACAAGCCTTAAACACCCGATGACATAATGTGCCACCATGCGGATGAGGATCACCGTGGAGAGGTCCCGGAAACCGCGTTCAGCCTTTAGGCCATATTTATGGCCTGACTATATTGCGGTCCCTGGCAAGAGCCAGAGTAGGGCTTCAAATAACGAAAAACTGCATCCTAAAAAAGACAGGGAGTAATCGTTGTGGCTTGACTGACTGACTGACCTTCTACCCCTCTAGGACATCACACAAACGATAAACACCCGATGACACAAAGTGCCACCATGTGGATGAGGATCACCGTGGAGAGGTCCCAGAAACCGCGTTCAGACAATTGACCATATTTATGGCCTGCCTATATTGCGGCCCCTGGCAAAAGCCAGAGTGAGGCTTCAAATAACAGAAAATTACGTCCTAAAAAGGACTTAAGGAAAAATCATAATTGTGGCTTATTGTCACTAACCGAATGTGATGTTGTCATTTCTGAAAATGTCTGGTTCCTCTTTTGGTCTTATGGTCCTGCTTGGAGTTCCGTTTTGCCTTTATATCTTCCTCGTTGTGCTTCCGGTGCCTTGGGTATTATGAAAATGATGCCAATATATGAGTGCACTCTTATCTTAGTCAACTATCTCTGATGAATTGATGCACACACAACTATGGTCTATAACTCTTATAACCAGAGAGTTATCTCCCCCTGTGCCAGTAAACTTTTCTCAAGAACTAGAACGTACATCCCCGGGGTCAGTTAAAAATAGCCAGCCTGAAAGTGGTTTTTATGAAATATCGATTCATCTGTCAGCCTGACTTATTGCACCGCGGTCGTGGAGCAAACAGCAAGATATTTGGATAGAGAGCCACCGGAAGACCCCCACCACCCAATCGACATCCCGCACACTCGCACAAAAACAATGGGTAGAACAGTGGCATTGTGAGGTCAGCTGGTACCCGGTGCATACATGATTTATTACCCACTATATACACACACGCGCACACGCCACAGGCACACAAACACACTTCCGCATATTTTTGATAATGAAAAAAAAAATATTTTTAGGATGTTTATTTTCACGCCCGACCCCACTCCTTTCCCACTGATGACACCCGGGGGCTATCTGCACCTTCTGTACACCCGTTGCTGGTGTAGAAAACATCCAGGGCACACTAAACAAACACAGATATAGGTCCCAGGACTTTTGTCTGGTCGTACTCAGGGCCGTGTCGTCATTTTATAGTTACTGTAGTACACTTTGTGGTCAGTACTGGTGCCTTACACATAAGAAAGCCCTCGATATGGTATAAACAATGTGATTAATCTAGCCGTGTAAGGAAACTCAGCTTTACCTCCCTCTTTGTCAGTGAGGTCAGATGTGTTCTTCCACGACCTGCTCCAGTTGACGGGCCGTGATGCTGACGTCACCGACTGGGGCTAACGATGCGTTAACACACACACACAAACTATTTTCGACAGTGGTGAGAGAAGACAACTTCAATTGTAACTTTTAAGTATCTACATGTCATCCTAATTTCACACTATTTAGCCGACTTTTCTTGATTATTGCCGCGGCACCCCTGGCATACGCTCACGGCACCCGATGGCAAGAACCTCTGCGTAAACGCATCGTTAACCCGACCTGGTGACGTCAGCAGCACGGCACGACAGCTATAGCCGGTCTTGGTTCTTCCCATACAAATCGAAAACCGCGATTGTCATACCAGCAGTCGCACACGTCGAATGCAGTCCTCTTTGCAGGAAGAAGTGTAACAGTACCATAACGTTGGACCAGCCAGAAAGCCCTAAACAAGGTGTCTTCATTAGACAAGTTTATCTAGACATATATGAGCATCATACTGTGAAGAAAGCGACAACAAACTCATCATCATCATGTAGCATGTCCTTCGCAGAACGTCGCTCTCATCTCGGTCTGCCTAAAAAAAACAGTCATTCGCCAGCTCTCCCGCTACGTGCACTTTTCTACTCAAGGCCTCACTTATATCCTGTGCCCATCTTCGTGCTGGTCTGTCCCTGCCCTTAATTCTGATACCACGCACTTCTGCTATTATTTTCCAGTCTCCCTTGGCGCTTGGTATGACCAAACTATTTCAGTTTCTGATAGAACATGCTGTTTATTAGCCAATCTTCCTTGATTTTCAGATCTTTTGGGGTGTCCGTTTTTTTTTTTTTTCAACCTCTGTCCATAGCAAAGTGCTGAACGTCAAACTGCCTAGTAAAAGCACAGACCATCCAGAAGGTGTCGGAGTTAGTTGGCAACGTCCGAAGCATGATCTGCACGTGGCGACCATACTTGGAAACACAACTATGGAGTGTCATCATCATCCTTTGCAGAACGTCTCTCTCTCTCGTCACGCACGCACGCACACACACACACACACAGAGACACAGATAGACAGATTTATACAGAATACAGCCCAATCCACTTGAGTCAGTCCTCTCAGTTTGGTTCAGTTTTAACTTCAGACATATTTTGTATACATTATATATTTATTTTCTCGTCTTTATCAGCACGGCCAAGGTCGGCCTTATTTTTGAGACTGTCTGGTAGAACGAGAACAGACACGACGATTATGAACATCCTATGGCAGTTTTACTGCGATCTAAACATCGGGGGGAGAATACCTGGCCAAGTTCAGAATTCCAGCCTTGTCTGTGTTTATGATTTATCTTCAGCCGAATTTAAGACAGGCCTGCGTGCCTAATTTGTGACCCTTTAAAAATCAAGTTCGTTTATTCGTTCATTCTTACCTCTTGGGGATAATCACTGCGGATATCAGCAACCTCCATTTATCTCACTGTTTGTCTCCTTTTCCTAGTTGATGACTCAAAGTGAGTGACTTTCAACCCCACAAGGACCACACAACGAGCAATAAACATCCGGTGACACAAAGTGCCACCATTTGGATGAGAATAACCGAGGGAAAAGTCCAGGAAACCCCTTTCAACCGTTAGGTTAGATTATGTCTCTTGGCGACGGTCAATGTGGGGCATTTAAAAATAACAACAATTTGCGTCATATGTTAGGAAAACATGAACTCAGGATGAAAATGGTCTGCGTGTATATATTATCTGTCCACCGTCTACTTTGTGTGTCTCATTGGTTTATATCGTGGTTTATTCCCGTCTATCTCTTCTGTACACACAGATGGTGTATGTGTACACGTCTGTGTGTTGTGCACACAGTTTTGTATATTGTGCCCACAGTTTTGGTATTGGGCCCACAGTTTTGTGTATTGTGCTCAGTCTGTGTACAAAACAATTACTGTGTTCTTTAAATCAGCGCTAAGACTAATGCAATGGCTTCACAGTTTTTAGCCCATAAAGGAAAATTTTTACAACTGAGAAGAGCGTTTCTCCTATCTGGAACACGTAATAAAAAATGATTGTAGCAGTGGGACCAAAAAAAAAAAAGAAATTAAAAAATTAATAGGAATGCGTAAAACTGTTAAAATTATTGACACTCAGAAACGTAAACAACACATTAAGTAAAAATAAGAATCATAAAATATCTATACTCAACTTTTCTGTGTGGTGCAAAAACCTGGACAATGAACAGGCAACTTGAAAACAAAACTGAGTTTCTAAAAAAAATTTACTATTAACATACAGAAGTTATGGAGATGCTGCGAATGTTAAGAGAGTTGTTGAAATAGATTAAAACAAAAGAGACAATTGAAATAATTCGGTCACATCAAAAGAAATAACACTTTTAAAAACCATACTGAAGGAAACAGTGGAGGGTATGACACCAAGAGGTAGACAGCGATGCAAGTTACAGGACAACGTTAGGAGATGGACAAACAGCAGTATAAGAGAGTGTTCTACCAAGACAAAGCAAAAGAATGTGCAGAGACTTTGCAATCAACCATCATCGTGGAGACGGCACCTGATTGATTGATTCATTGTCTTATTCCTAACAGCACCGTTTCTACGACTACTAACATCATCATCATCTTCATCAACAACATTAACAGTTCGTATGTTTACGCGATATAAGAGGTTGGTCAAAACGTTGGCGGTAATTTGCATTCTTATTATTTTCCGTGAGCTTCCTAGAAACTTCAGGAAGGGGTCGACTTCTGAGACCCCTCCGTAGAAAATATGTGAGGGGTCGAGGGTCCCCTACATTGTTTTCTTTGTTTCGGTGCGTCTGCCCCTGAACATTTGTCTGGAGTTCCACGAGCCTATGGGCCCCATTAAAACATATTTCTTAAAGGCACAACCTCCCAGTTTCAAAAATATAGGAGAAAAATCGTGGGAAGTAAAGGATGCCGGGTTATGGAAACGTTAATCTCCCCACGGACCGCCCATAAACACACTAGCTCACTTCCGAATGGTAGACCTTCAGCTAAGCGCACTTCTGATTGGTCGACCTTGAGCCACCCTCCTTGGTACAAGGTAACGGGGGTGCTCCCCAATGCCGTTGATATCGCGTGCTCTTTATGTTATCATTGCAGCGCCTTTAACACTACAAAAACATCGACAAACTGGGTCTAACACACAACCATTTAGAGAGTAATGAAACTTCTGTCACGTGCATTTTTTTTCTCGGAAAAAAGTAAGTGCGACATCCCAGAAAGCAAACAACAGAGCGGCACACCCATAACGTTCAGCAGGTTAGACCAGACCAAGAAAGTTATCAATGGAACGTGACCTACTTTCTGTGGGGAGACTAACGTTTATTTTTTATAAAATATCTTCCACGTTTAAAAATACAAGTATCTTAGCGTTTGCCCCATGCACCAGTCTGATGAAAGGGTCCTTTGGTTACTAACTAATGCGTGTCCTCGTGTGTGTTCGAGACCTCAATTTTGGATGGGTTTGGGAGGAGGGATTAGGGGGGGGGGGGGGGGGGGGGGGGGGGGGGGGGGGGGGGGGGGGGGAGGTAAAAGTATAGAACCAACGTTGCCTGACAAGCGTGTCGCAAGTGGGGACCGATTAGGGTTTTGCCGAAGATGGATGTGCTGGGCGAAAAAGCATCGATATAGCAGGCTGGCTGTAAACCACACTACAACCTGCCAACAGCGCTTTTAAGGGAAAGAAGAAGAAGAAGAAGAAGAAGAAGAAGAAGAAGAAGAAGAGCAGGAGGGGAGGAGAAGGAGGAGGGGAAGAGGGAATAGGAGGAGGAAGAAGAGAAGAAAGAGGAGGAGGAAGACGACAAAGACAACGACGAAAATGACAATGAAGGCGACGACGATGAAGGCGACGACGACGAAGAAGACGACGGTGAAGAAGAAATAAGGCGATGAAGAAGAAGAAGAAGAAGAAGAAGAAGACGAAGAAGAAGAAGAAGAAGAAGAAGAAGAAGAAGAAGAAGAAGAAGAAGAAGAAGAAGAAGAAGAAGAAGAAGAAGAAGAAGAAGAAGAAGAAGAAGAAGAAGAAGAAGAAGAAGAAGAAGAAGAAGAAGAAGAAGAAGAAGAAGAAGAAGAAGAAGAAGAAGAAGAAGAAGAAGAAGAAGAAGAAGAAGAAGAAGAAGAAGAAGAAGAAACAGAAAGAAAGAAGCGCCTTAACATTCCCTCTGCCATGTGGTACTGCGTGTCTGCAATACAGGAGTGAACTGACTCATTGTAGGTAATGTTTGTTCTCCCAGAATGCTTTCTTTGATTCCCACTCTCCTTGATATTAGTGGGGCTCTCCTGTAATGATCTGGCTAAGATCAGAAAGCGTCCATGCTTGTTCTCTTGTGTTTAGCTGCCTCCCAATGTTTATCTCTTGAGTTTGGCTAGCAGTTACCACCCCAGTAGGTTTCCGTGGCCAGGTATTAGACTGTTTACCTAGAATTCTGAAGGGT